GCTCTTCCTGTGAACTTCTCCGCTTTCCAGCAGACACGGCGTGGAGGCCGGCGGAGGGACCCATGAGGGGCTCCAGTGACTGCATCCGCATGAGCACCCCTAGCCCCACTCCCCCCCTCCTCCCCAAAAGCGATGGCAAGCTCCTGCCTGGGCCACCGGCGACTTGAAAGCCACCTCCCCCCGGTCTTTAACCGACCCAATTAATTCAACTAATTAATTGATTCAAGCAATCGATTCGTTAATTGATTCAACTGAAGGCAGATGCTTCTTAATCTGATCACCAATGTCATATCGTCTCCTCCTCCCCCCACCTCCAGCCACAGGCAGCAGGGGCTCGGAGGCTTTGCAGGGCGCTGCCGGACCACCGCTCTGCCCACCCCACTCACTGATCCCTACCTGTGGCCCTTCCCAGACACCCCAGGTCAACACTGCCAGTTAACAGGCAATCAAGTAACTCCAATTAAAGCTCTTGAAGTCGAGCCCTTTGCCTCATCTTGGCCACGTGCAACATTTCTGCCAGCATAACTGCTCCTTGAGGCCTCAGAAGATCCGTTCTACAGTTCTAACTTAAGAAACAAAAATGTATAACTTGCAAACCGAGCTGTCTCCAAAGCTTAGCTATTCCTACAATTTTCCTCAACAGGACTTGTGTAGCCTGCCCCGACCCGTCTCTGAGCAAAATCTTGTAGGTTGGAACTGACCCAGCGCAAATCATGCCCGGGGCACGGTGATACCCAGGACAAAAGGTGCAATCCCAGGGTAGTTGTTCTCGGGGATAAACCATGCTGATACAATCATATCTGGCCCCCAGGCCGGGTTGCACAGATATAACCCCGCAGCTCGGGTTGAAGTGGAGTAAATCGTGTGTGTAGACAAGCCCCTGGTTTCACAAACACCCGCGGGATTTGCTGTCTGGTGCCAAAAATCCTTTTCCCAATTTAGCGCCTGTCTCCTTTTTACACGGCATCCATTGCTCTGGTGAGCAGAGGGTCACGCCAAGCATCGGAGCGCCCGCCTGGGCACCCACGCATCTGCGCCCAGCTACCCACCAGTGCCAGAAGGCAATCCCAGGTGGGTCTCATCCTCTATGGAGGCACCGGCAGAGAAGGATGAAGGGGTCCATCTTGGGCACCCTGCCCCAGGGAGCAGGGAGAGCATCCTGGCTGGCTAATGGGACTTGTGGGACGTTGCTGGGGGCTGTGCTAAAGCAGGGGGTGGCCAAGGAGGTCCTTGGAGAGGTGTCCCTGAGCAAGCAAGGCAGGCAATGCCGACATCCTTTCGTCCCCGTGCTCCGAGCTCCCTGGGGAAGGCAGGCTCTGACCCTCACGGGGGATCTGGGCACTGAACTCAGCCCAGCGAGCATCTTCCCTGCCCCTTCCCACCGAGCCCCCCCATGCACGCGACCGCGGACGGCATCTTACTCACGACAGCGAATTTCTTGTTTAAGGCCATCTGCTCAGCCAGCACCGACTGGTTGTGGAAGAGGTGGGGCTGCATGTGGCTCCACATGTGGGGGAACCACCAGAACTCCCTCACGTAGGACAGGAGCAGGTCGTCGCCTTCGTCCTCGGCGTCCGTGCCTGCCGGCCAGCAGCGTCATCAGCCGCCTCCCCCGGCACCGGAGCGCCGAAGGACCGGCGCCTGAGCCCAGCACTCAGGTCGCCAGCCTTGCTCCTAGCCTGCCTGGCACCTGCTCTCTGCCCCTTGAGGTGTAGGGGGCGGGTCGATGGGGCAGCCAGACAGCCCTCCCCATGCCCCTGTGAGAGCTGGGTGAATCAGGACTTAAGGATGAGCCTAGCAGTGTCTTCAGCCACTCGACGTGGCCGCCATGGCAATGTCTGGGTTCCCCTCTGGTACGAGATGCATCGATGGACTGTCTATCTGCCGGCCGACCGGCCATGCAATACCCGGGACAATGGGTAAAGCAGAGCAGAACGGGACACTTGAGCTCCCCATCACTCGTTGGGGAATCCAACGAGACAGACCCCAACGGGGCATGGGTGGCGACGGACGGCCAGCGGGCATCATGCCGCAGCACATGAGAGCAGACTGGGCCCTGTCACCAGCTGTGACCCCTTCCCCATCCCTGGGGATGATGCCATGGGCCTTCATTTGGAAAGGGCTCTGACATGCATGGGACCCAGAGCCACGTGCCCCTGGGCCAGCTGGCATGGCTGGTCCCAGCCCTGTGCTATTCTCCTCTGGTCGAGGGAGGTTTTAAAGGGAGCGTTGGAAGGAGAGGGCACACATCCCCTTTTCCATATCACTGCCTCCCCCCCAGGACATCGCAGCAGAGACCGTGACCTCCCAGCTGGACAGGAGGGCAGCTGGGGGTTTAACCCTTGCAGGGCTCTGGTTTGTGCGTGGACTGCACTCACCTGTGTGGAAGAATTTCCCTGAGTATCCCAGGTTGAAGGTGAAGTTGGGGATGTAGGTGCGCAGCTCGTTCTGGGTGTCAAACAGAGCCTGCAGCACGGAGAGAGATGGTTGGGGGGCCAGTCGGGAACCAGGTCCCCTCCCAGCCACTGCAGGGAAAGTTTGGTGCTCCAGATGCTTCTCAAGCACTACAGCCCCCAGGTCATACCCACGTCCTGGGCCTCGCCAGCTCAGAGCACCGGGAGACCTGTGCAGCCGCGGCACAGCCACACGCTCCCAGCCCTGGCGGCAAGTCCCGCGGGACCGTGCATCAGTGTCAGGCACATCCGCTCTGCCACCGGCAGTGCCCAGGGGAGGCCACCCACTCCCTCCCTCCCTCTCCGCAGGAGAAAACCCTGGAGATGAAGCCGTGCACAGTCTCCAACAAGCAGTGCTGGATGCTGGGCACTGGCTCGGGGCTGCCTCGAGTCAGGGACCCATGGCAGGCAGAGGGGGAGTGAGTGGGCAGGGCAGGGATCAAATCCCCCCCCTCAGACTTTTCTCTGGACCGAATAACCCTAGTTGTCCACACTCTTCTTCAAATCTGGGCCCAAAGCTGGACACGGGACCCCAGGTGAGGCCATGCGGCCGTCTCACCTGGGCTAGACCTGCAACGCTCCTGCCTTTGCTCTGAGCCCGACTGGACAGTGCATTAGGACCACGACCAGATGCTTCCAGTCCTGGCTTCAATAACCAGTGCCAGGCTCTATGCTCCCAGCCCTCCCTTTAAACCCACTGGGCACCCGTGAGCCCCCAGGACCAGAGACCTCCCCCCATCACTCCAGGACTGAACCCCACGGTACCTTGACGTCCTCCACCTTCATGCGGGTGCCTTCCTTGCCCACGAAGATGTCATCGATGTCGACCAGGATGTAGCGGTCGAGAGGCAGCGAAAGCCGCTTGCTAGTGAGGAAGGAGACGGCGTCCACGAAGACCAACTTATGCAGCCAGAAGCTGAGGTTGTTGCCAAAGAGGACGCGCTGGATGCCGTCGTGCAGCCCCAGGTCCTGCACCACGGTGGTGTGGAGCGCGGCGTCCACGCTCATGTGCGGGATAGACTCGGCCGAGCGCGTCTTGGCCAGCAGCACGGGCTCGTAGGTGGAGTGGTTGGACTGGAAGACGGTCCAGTCCTCGCCGGGCAGCACGCCCTTCTCCACCTCGCTGGGCCGCGTGATGTACAGCAGCGGGGATTTGGGGTTGATGCTGCAGTCCTTCAGCGCCAGGTTGGAGTGCAGGAAGAGGGGGAAGCCCTTGAGCTGGGCGCTCAGCAAGCTGTTCTCGTTGGCCTGCGGTGGGGACGGACAGCGTGGCACTGCAGGTTCCCCGCCCCTACCCCCAAACCCCTCAGGCTCCTCTGAGCCACCACGGGGCTTGGACCCAGGCCATACCCACGGCCTGTAGGACCCCCGGGAAGGATGGCCCAGCGGTACGATCTGAAGGAGAAGGATGGGTTGAAGGGGGCGCAGCATGCCACAGGTCACCAGTGCCGTGTGAACCCGCCATGACTAACCAGGCTCCCACAGGAGGTGGCACCTGTCACCTCCACTGTCCACAGGGTCTCCTGAAAGCAGCAGGCACCACGGGTTCCTGCGCTCAGATCAGGCCCCCAAAGCCGGAGGCTGGATCCTGTCCTCTTCCTGCAGAGGGCTCCAGGGCTGCTCACACCCCTGCCCTTCCCAGTGCATCCCAGTGCGAGATTCCCAGCAACCCCTCCCCCCTTGTACCCAGAGAAGGTTAACCCTTGCCATGCTGGAGGGACACGCCCGAGCAAGCCACAGCGACTGCAGGGAGCAGTAATCAGCCCACAGGCTCTTCCTCACTGGGGGAAGGAAGCTTTGCAGGCACAGGGAGGGCTCAGGAGCAAGGGACTCTGCCTCTGGGCAAGGGCTGGGGTCAGACAAGTCCCTCCAAGACCCCTGGGGACAGCTCCTGCAGAGACAGTCCCAGGGTGGCTGGAGAAGGACACCCCCAGGCACTTATGTGATGACCCCACACAGTCCCCGGAGACCTGCTACCATCCTCTTGGCTTAGCAAACCCAGAGGCAACACCCTCCATGGCAAGACACATCGCTTCCAGCTGTAGGAGAAGCAGCCGGTCTCGGCAGAGGGAGCAGACGGTGAGCTGCTGGGCTGATGGCCGGAGACTCAGAGTACCCCCCCACGGCCAAACCTCGTACCCCAAGATGCCCCAGCCCTGCTCCTTCCCCCTGCCCCGGTACCTTGAAGAAGCCGATGATGCCCACGCCGTACTCCACGCAGTACTTGTCCAGGAGCTCGCGGTTCCAGGCGTCCAGGTTGACGTACTTGAGGATGTTCTCGTAGACGATGAGGGCGAAGCGGCCCCGGTCCTTGTCCGTCAGCGTGGGCATGTCCCCCTTCCCGGGGGCGATCTCTGTCCGGTACTTGAAGCGGCTGGACTCCAGGATGGCCACGATCTCCTGGCCCAGCTGCGAGTACAGGCTCTCCACGAACACCAGCACCAGCGGGTCCGTGCGGGACGAGTCGGCCACCTTAAGTGGCTTCAGGGGGAGGAGGCGCGAGGGGGCGACCTTGGGCTCCTCGCAGTCCGGCCCCGGGACGTCCCCGGAGGGCTCCAGGCCCCGCTTCCAGCCGTACAAATAATACGCCGAGATGAACACACTGAGCACGCAGAAGGCGAAGAGCAGCAGCAGCACGCCCTGCGGGGACACCTGCCGCGCGCCCCGCCGCAGCCGCCCCAGGGCGCTCATCCTGGCTCCGCGGCCCCTCTTCTCAGGACAGAGCAGGAGCTTAGCACACCGGCAGGGCACGCGAGTGGGAGCTCCCCGCCGCCCGGCTCGTCTGGCTCCCTGCCCGGTTCATGTCACCATGGCAGATCCGCTCAGTGGCCCCGTCCCAAGGAGAAACGGCATGGCCTCGGCATCGCCTCCTCCCGCGGGCCAGGGCCTCAGGCCTCGCTCTCAGGGGATGCCCGGGCGCCAAGGGCAGGTCCCCGCTGCATGCTCTGTGCAAGGGAGAGAAAGAAAGAGAGAGGGAAGCATTGCCAGCGATCCTGGAAAGAGCCGCGTCTCGCACCCCTGGAAACCCCGGAGGGGGGGAGGCAGCCGCGGCAGCGGTCGCTCTCACGTCCACGTGCTATAAATACCGGCGCGCACAGCTCCAAAGCCTTCATTAATGCAGCGGCAGAGCCCCCTTCCCAGCCCATGCACGTGCCGGCTCCGGTGGAGCTGGGCATGGAGCAGGGACGTCCAGGGGCAGGGCGCACGTGCCTGTGGGGCCGAGGCGGCATCAGCCGGGGATCGGGGCAAGCCAGGCCAGGGGGAGACCCAGGGAACTCCTGGCCTCGGGTCCTGCACTGATTCACTGCATGGCTCTGGATGAGTCACAACCCCCCACGTGCCTCAGTTTCCCCATCCCTGCAATGAGGGAATGCCAGGCACAGCCTCCCAACCAGCTGCCAGGACATCACAGACATGAGAGTCTTGGACTCGTAGAAAATGAGGGTTGGAGGGCTGGCGGTCCAACCCAGCCAGCTGGACACAGAGCTGGGGGGTCACCTGGGAGGTCCAGCTCAGGCCTGGCTCTTTTGGGGATCCCAGCGACCTGCAAAACCTGCTCCACCCAGTGAGAGCCCAGCAAGAGGCACCACGGGCCCCGGGAACCTCTGCCCACACGGTCCCCAGCATGGAAAGGTTGCATGGGGGCTCCCATGGAGCTAAGCCCCCTGCTCCCTCCCGTCCCTCGACAGCTGTGCCCCAACCAGAGCGCTGCGTGACCCACACGAGCCCAGCCGGTGGGAGGAAACATTCATCCCCTGGTCCTCAGGATGCGTCCCATGCCCCAAGAAGGGAGCCTTTGGCTCCTTGCACAGCTCTGGGGTTGGGGGCTGCACCGGCAGGGAACACGACCCTGCTGGGGCTCGAAACCTCGCTCTCCTGGCATCCGCACGCCCCGTCCACACCGCATGCAAGATGCCCGTGCCAGGCGGGTTGCTCCGGGGCCGAAAGCCGGGCACGTGCAGGAGCAGCAGCTTCGTCCTTGCCAAAAAGAGCCGGAGCAAGCACGGTATTATGTGGGATTTGAGTGGTATCTATAATATCCAACTATGAAACTATAGAGCGAGGCGACGGGAGGGGAACAGAGAGCACCTGTCTCTCTTCTGTGAGCCTTGTCCTCTGGCACCTCCGGCCCCACCAGACACAGAGGAGTTGAGCCCAGGTCTTCATTTGGATTCAGTGCCCGTGCCCCTCGCTCCCATAGCGGCCAATGCCCCTTTCCTCCAAGAACGTGTCCAGCCCCTTTGGGAACGTGGCTAAGCTGTCGGCTTCCCCCAAACCTGGTGGCAGCCAGCTCCATGCTCTGCCGGTCCCTTGCTTGGCAGGGGGCTGCAAGTAGGCTCCGCGGAGTTGCTTGACCCAACACCAGCCCATGCCCTCCCCGGTGGGGCAATAAATTGGGGCCGGGGTCAGACACCCCGCCCCGTCCCCTGGGGCTGGCATCTGCACGGCAGCCCGCTTGATGCCAGCCCTGGAGGCCTGTGGGGCCTCCCGCGCCGTGGGGCCACTTTCAAACGCTCAGCCGGAGGAGGAGTAATGGGATTAAACTTTTCCCGGCTGACCGGGAGCAGGGATTACACCGTAATCCTGTCATTCCTGCCCTTACCTGGAGCACGGGGAGCACGGCCACGTCCTACCACCAGCCCCCGTGACTCGTGTGTCTGCCCTGGGGGGCTCCCAGTTGCCCACAGAGCACCCCCCCCCCGACTTGGCAGTGCAAACAACAGCAGAGCTTGGCCCTTCCCGGCATCTTGCACCCACCTCGAGCTTCCCGGCCCGGCACGCCCGTGACCCCAGCGGGGCTTTCCTTACCCACTCTGCTGCTGGATCGGCCCCTCCCTGCACGCAACGCCCCCAAAACCGAGGCTGGACCAGCAGCGGCACGGAGCCCGAGCCGGCGTGGCTATCCACGCAGAAGCCCGAGCACATCCCCGTCTCTCCCACCCACCAGCAACACCCGCTCCCAGCCCTGACAGTGCAACAGAGCAAGCTGGTGACAAAAATTCCCCGGGCAGGGCCCTGGCTCGTTAATGCCGGGCTGCCCCTCCGCCCCCGGCCCCATTAACAAGCATGCAGGCCAAAGAGCCGTCCCTATTTCCATCTTCTTCTCCGCCCTCCGCTCCTTTCCCCCCACCCGTCTGGCTGCACAGGGCAGCCTCCACTCCTACACGTCACGGGGATATTTAATACCATCCGCGGAGCGAGGTTTCAGATAACTGCGTTGGAAATGCAGCGGGACATGACCCCGTTTCGGAGAAGGCGGGCTCTGCACGCCGGCAGGGACTGCATTGGCTTCTCGCTCTGTCTCACCCAATTCCACCCACCCCCAAACTTTCTTTGCCCTGCTTTTTTGCTCTCTCTCCAGGCGCCCAGACAACATCTGAGTTGAATTTTCAGGCTCGGGGTGACAGAGGGCATTTTCAAGGGAGCCAGGAGGAGTTGCGGGTCGATAAACGGGCCAGAGTTGCTAGGGAAACACAGAGCTGGCAAAGGAGTCTTCGTGGGGATCCCCCAAAGTCTATGGGAATGCGACCGGGCACTTGGAAACACGGCGGGTCACAAAGTAGGAGCGCGTCACGGTGCAGCCGCGTTGCAAATTATTCCTCTTTGGGGAAGAAAAGGAAACGCGTCTCTGTATTTCAACCCATTCTTTGTGCAGCAGGGAAGCAACCTGGGTAGGAAGAGACGAGACTACAGAAACTTCCCCGCAGAGCAGAGGCATCGGCAGAGTCCCCGCGGCAGGGTTAGGACTGTGGGCTGAGATGCAGCTGCCAAGATCCGATCCCCGAAGAGTGCGGGTCACCTGCACCCCGCGGATCGGAGCGAACGCACGGCCTGGCCCCCTGCCCACGGCTCACCTGGGGCCCGGGAGAGGTGGGGTGCAATGCAGGGCCCCGTGTGCATTCCCGCGCACGACGGTGGTGAGGCACAGGAGGTGCGCAGCTAAGCACCCGGGGCCCTCGGCAGACTTGGATAGCATGCCACGAAGCTCCTGGTGCCAGCCTTGCACGCGGTGCAGTCGCCCCTCCATCCGTGCATCGCAAAGCACTGTGCCCGCATGACTGAGCGGCCCCCAAACCACCCAGGAAGTGCTGTGCCCCCGCCCCATGTAACCCCTGAATGCACAGGCAGCTTCTCCAAAGCAAGGTCCCTGCCTAGCCCAAGACAGTGGGCTGTAACCACCTAGCCCATACTTCCTAGGTGGGCACCAACATCCCGGGTGTGCATCAAGGCCGTTACACCCACTCCCCACCCCATCTGCCTGCAACCACGCCGGACACCCCAGCCTAGGGTGCTTCCCAACCCCGAGCTGGGGTGCGCAGGGAGCGGCGAGAGAAGCACCTCGGGGGTTCATTTCCTCGCCGACGGGCCCTGCTCCCGCCAGCCGACCTGAGAGGGTTTCCGCGTCCCAGCCGATCCCTCTGCCGATGCACAATGAGGCTACCGAGCGCTGCTAATCTCCAAAGCGCTCATCAGACACGTCCCCCACGACGCCCCCCGACTCCCGACGCGCAGAGCAAGCATCAGCACTTTGCTTTGATGGGCTCCGGACAGACACCGCCGCTCCGGATCGGGGGTTGTCTCCGGGGACCGCGCCGAGATGGAGCAATTTATTAAGCAGCCTATCTCCACGCTCCGCCTGGATTTCTTATTTCTTTCATCCTTAAAAAAAAAAAAAGAGAGAGAGAGAGAGATGGCTGATGCTCCAACCAGCCTCTTGCTGCCTTCCCCATCAGCTTTCCTTGGGAGTGACATCAGAGTTCCCATGGCTACAGGCAGGGAAGTGACAGCCACCAGATTTAATGTCAATGCTGGAGAGGCAGAAAGGGAGACGGGTCCTGACAGGAAGAGATTATGCATCCGACTTTAATCGCCGGCCAGGCAGGGATGGGGAGACGGGCGGCCGGCGGGGCCGCGCTCTCGCCCTTCTGCAGAGCGCTCGCCACGCAGCTCCTGCCCCGCACGGCCGCGAGCACGGCGGCTTCCTCGCTGGAGGGACACACACACACGCACACAATCCCCCCTTGGTTAAACACATCGGGGGTGACACACACACACACACCCTGGTTAAACACACTAGGGTCACTCACACACACCCCCCCAGTTAAACACACTGGGGTGGCACACACACAAATGCGCCATTTGGTTAAACACATTGGGGTCACAAGCACACACATAGATGGGGACACACACACACACACCCCCCTCTGGTTTAACACACCAGGATCACAAGCACACACTCTTGGTTAAACACACTGGGGTTACTCACACACGTACACACACACACACACACACACACACACCTGATTAAACGCACTAGGATCACAAACACTTTGGGGTCACTCACACACACACACACAGTTAAACACACTGGGGTGGCACACACACAAAGGTGCCCTTTGTTTAAACACACTGGGGTCACAAGCATGCCTGCGTGCACACACACACACACACACACACACACAGACTTTGGTTACTCACACACACACACATGCACATACACACCTTTGGTTAAACACACTGGGGTGACACACACACACACACGCCCCTTGGTTAAACACACTGGGGTCACGAGCAGACCCCCCCCGCAGTTAAACACACTGGGGTGCCATGCACACACATGCCTGCCCCGCGCCCCCCGCGCTTTCACAGGCAGCCCCACATGGAGTCAGCGGCGCGGCGAGCTCGAGCACTCTGGGGCGGCTGCACAAAACGGAGAGGAGGCCGCCGCACTCTTCTCGTCACCCTCGCTCGCTGACGAGCTTCCAGGGACCTGGCACCACGGGGGGGAACCCACCCCAGGAGCAAGGTCCCGTTGCACGGGGCAGCAGGACATTTCCAACCGGTCTCCCGTGCCCCGTTTTCCTTTGCCACAGACCTGTCCCCTCTCCCTGCCGGGCCTGCAGCTCACGTTGAGCTTGTGGCCTCCCCGTGGCGCGTGCAGCTCCCTGCCTTCTTCCCTGCTCAGGCTCTGGGGCTCCCATACAACACGCAGGTGCCAGGCCGGCAGGACGGCTGTCAGAGACGTAGTTTGTAAAACAACCCGAGAGAGACGCGGGAAAGGTCAGGAGCGGAGCTGTCAGGACCCAACTTCGACCGGCGCTAAATATAGGCCGTGCGGCTTCACTCTTTAATTTCCTGCCCGTGGCGAGATCTCCGCGTGCCTCCCCGGGGAAGAAGGCTGCCACATTGCTAGAGCGCTAGCCGGCAGGCGCAGCCTGAGACGCCCAGGGGACGGAGCGGCAGCAGGTGTGTGCCGGACCCCAGGGAGGCAGGCGGCTCCACTCCACCTCCCTGCCTGCTCCCGGCCTGGGAGTGCCGTGCTGTGCCCATGCGAACCCTGGGCAGCGCTTCCCCGGGCGGGCATGGTGCAAACAAGGCCCAGAGGCTTTTGACTCTAGCCCTGTCCACATTCAACCGCCAGCCTGGAGCTACGCTGGCAGTAGAAGGGTTTGCCAAGTGCATGCCAAGCCCTGGGGGACAAGGACTCATCCCGGCTGCCCCTGCCTGCTACTAAGAAGAATACGGGAAGGCATCACCTGGCACGAGTGGGTCGGCACACAAGGAGTCAGCCCACTGTGCATGAACTCAGGGCATCGGATACGCCCCGAGGTCTCAGAGACTTGGGAAAAGCACCCGTTGCTCGGCCTCACAACCATTGCCACTACCTCCTGCTATCCAAACAGTTCTCAACTCCTTTTTAGCAGGGGGGAAGAAGCCTGTGGACATTTTGCCACCAGCGCCCACGGCCTGCCCATCACCGTCCACCCGAGAGGAACACAACTCGGCCATCGCCCCTCGTTCTGTACAAGTGACAGCCAAAGCGAGAGAGTAACGGCCTGGAAATCTCCTTCTAGTTGTTTTATGCATTGCACGTGGAAGTGCTTGGGACACCGGCGGTTTCTGCATGCATGGGTCTGAGGCTGCAGCAAGGAGGAGAAAGACCTTTTTTTTTTTTTTAAACGGAAATTTGGTGGCAAATACAGCCTAGGCCACAGCTGGTGGGGGGTGCAGCGCAGCGGCGGGATCTCCGATCGTGGAGAAGCGGGGCTGGAAGGGCGCTCCGGAAGGCACATGTAGTCCAACCCCTACCTGCGCCCTGTCCAAACCATCCCAGACAAATCAGTAGCCTAACCTCTAAGTAAACCAACACCGTCAATCCTGACACAACACCACACATCACACCCAACCCTGACACAGGGAAAGCCGGGGGACCGCAGCAATCAATGTCCTGCTTCTATGAAAGGCTGTTAATATACACTTAAGAGACCCCGGTAGAGGGCCATGCCCCCCGTTGCAGAGGAAAGCAAACCCCCCTCTGTCCTTACCAATCTGACCAGGGGGGAAAATCCCTTCCTGACCCCAGATATGCATTGCTCTGACCCCAAGCAGAGGGGCAAGACCCTCCAGGCTCAAGTCCCAGCAATGGCACTGCCACATCCCAGTCCCCATCCCCAGCCTGGGCTGCAGCCAGCACCCGGTGCCTTCAAAACACCCTGAGACACGAGCCTCATAAAAAACCCCAAACTGGGGGCCCTTTAAAACAAGGCTCAGTTGTGCATTGAAAAACGAGAAGTGTCCTATCAGGACCTGAAACCACAGCAACATCATTTCCCAGGCAGGGGGAGGTTTGCAGGGAGCCGTAACACAGTCCCACTGACTACGTGGATCGAAACTGCTGCTCTGATGATGAGGAACTTCATCCTCCAGGTAGCACGCCCCATATCCCCACCAGACAGAAAGAGCCCATCAGCCCCCTTCAATAGCACCTCTGCTCTCTCCCACGGCCCTGGCATGCCCAGCCCCTTGCAATGCCCAGGTTTGTGGCCAAGCCAGTAGGTTTAACCAGTCCCGCCGGCGCAGATCACGGCACAGGGGATCTCCCGTCTTTGCAGCTTCAAGCCCAGAGCGAGGGGCTCTGCAAGCAGCATGCACTGCTCCTGACTGTGCAAGACCAAAGCACCGGAAAGTTGGATTAAAGAAAGGGGAGAAGGGAAGCACAGCTCACATGTGTGCACCAGGCAGGGTGGGGCAGACCCCGTGCGGCCCCGGGCCCAGCCCTGCCAGCCGGCCGCTCACCACGGGACTCCACGCGGCCACTTTAATCCGAGGCCCTGACAAACAGCATCACCGTCAAACCGGCTTGGCACCCTCCCCCCTCGCTCTCCCAGCCAGCCCCAGCGTGCCAGTCATCATGAAACATTAACGGCAGCTCCAAACTCATTTGTGCTTTGTCTCCAATCTGGGCCAGCCGCTCTCCGAGGGGAATAGCTCTGCTTTGCTCAAGCTCATCATCGAAGGTGGCAGGGGGAGGGGAAGGGGCAGATTTGCCATGCCGTGGTCAAAGGCAGCTTCGCGGGGCAGGGAGGAGCGGGG